AGGATTTATATTTTATCATAGAAAGATTTTTTTTTTTTTTCAATTGCATATATATATATATTTTGTTCTTATTTATTTCTCATATGATATTTGTTATTCTAATTGATTTTCGTTATATGTTCAATTGATTTATTGCATATCAATATATGGATCTGTGCTTCTTCGATTGTATCGAACTCTACCTCTTCGATTGTTGCAATTTGATTCAATTTGATTCGATATATATTATAACTTTGACTCATGTTTCTTTGATTTACTTAGCTTTATTTCTTTCGCTTAGAAATCATTCGTTAGTTCATAATTGTCTTATTCTCAACTATTATTGTTTATTCATTGGTTATATGGTAATCATTAATAAATTGAAAATTGTCTATAAAGGAATATTGAAGCATGTTATGATAATAGTTGATATTTTTTGCTAATGTAATTGATCGTTGGTTCACATGTTTTTCAATAATTGAAAATCATTAATCAAAATTTGATATAGGATCGTCGAATGGTTTGATGGCTTAGTCTTATATTGGTTTTGAAACCATTTATTAGTAGTACTCTCTTACAACTTCATTTAGTTGTTTTTGTTATTGATAGTTGGCTTGATCAAAACCTTAATACTATATGTTTCCTCATCAAGTTAATTGTGGTATTGAATTCTGTGAATTCTGATTTTATGGTTGTAGTGCATTGCTTTGCTATATTATCTCATTGGTTTATAATGATCAAGTTCAACTTTGATAAATTGATTGATTGAGTTATATAACTATGATCTATGTTCATAATATATATATAGTTTGAACATGCTTTTGTAATCACAATTTTGTGCCTTGAGTACTTTGGCTATAAAAGATTCTAAATATTTAGAGTCTTTTAAAGAAAAAGAATTATCACCAGAAGTGATATGATCTGAAAATTAACTGAAAAGAAAGAATTATCACCAGAAGTGATAATAATCTAAATCGAAAATTATTGTATTGAAAACCATATAAACTTGAAGTTTATATGTGGAATAATACTAATACAAATGTGTTAGAAGAAATCATGAAAATATTGTTGTCCTGCAGACACAATAATAAATATGTTTAAGAATATTTATAAAATATTGTTGTCCAGTAGACACAATAGCAAAGAAATTCTAATGATTTTTAATTGTTATTTTCTTTTAAAATTAAATTTGTCACCTGAAGTGATAATAAAATAGTACATGTTACTATATTAATTGTTATTATCATGTTTTACTTATACATTTGTAGCTTGATAATATTTATTTATTATATTGCATCAAAAACCACATGACCTGAAGTCTATAAGTGGAGATAATAAATATTATGAAGATGTTAAAATACATCAAGAAAATTTTGTTGTCTTGCAGACACAAAAACATTATCACCTGAAGTGATAATATAATTTGAGAATTTATTCAAATTATATCTTATCTTTCTAATTTTATTTTAAACTAAATTTGTCACCAGAAGTGATAATAAATGGTATATATTATTAATATTTATTTTGATTATGCTCTATTTATTTATATATATATATATTTTTATTTTTTTTTATTATTCTCTATATGATATCTTAAATTTTCATGAAAGATTACAAGACCTGAAGTCTGTAAATAACTTTTAACTATATAGAAGATAATGTATATCAATAGAGATGCTAAAAAGCATACTCTAAATAATATTGTCATATTGTCCTGTAGACAAAATAATCTTAGACAATTTTACATTATTTTGAGAAAATATTGAATCATTGATGAAAATCATATCCAATTGGTTATGATCAATTCCCTGAAGTGAATGTGATATACAAGTAAATGGTTAAAGAGGTTATTGATTTTATATTGGAATTCAATTCGAGATAGATGAACCTGAAGTATCATCATCTCGAGGGGGAGAATGGATGAATCCCACAATCAATAATAAATGGAACATCTAGAAGATTATGTTCACACTCAAGATAAACTTGATCATTGATCAAGAAAAGTAAGAATCCCTAACTCATAATCCAGAAGATTATATTCAAATAATGATCCTGATGAATCATATAAAAGTAATTCCAAGGAATTTCAAATACAATAAATGAGGAAAAGTTAAATAGATGTTATAGTAAACCAGAAGTTTGCTGAATCTAACATAATTTGGCATGAACTGGTTAGACCATTCCAGTTCAAGAATTATGCGAAGTAAAATACAACATGTAGACATTTGTTGAAGAACTAGAAGATTCTTCTTAATGATTTCTAATGTGATATTTATCATAAGAGATTATGATAATACAATAATTATCACTAGCCAAAATAGATTTTGAGTCTATTCATTTTCTAGAGAGTATACAAGAACATATGTTTAATAACCCATTTTGTGGACTAATCATCCTCTTAAGAAATTTCATTGTGTTTTGTAATGCATCAACAAGTTGTATGTAAATGATAAATTGCAACCTGAAGTTTGCAAGATTACTTAGTAGTGCTAGTGAATCACATCTTAAGTCTATGGTGAAAGAAAAACATGTTTGTAACAAATGTTCATCATTGGACATAATGCACAAGCATTAATTCGCATAAAGCCAACAAGTAACTAAAAGTTCTCCCCATCAAAATTGGTTTTGGGTCAGAAACCTTTGGATGTGCAATATACATCCACATTGCTCCACCACAGCAATATAAGATAGATCTTCAAAGAGATTGTAGATGTTGGATATGAATCTCCATTGATAATATCTAGAGCTATCATGAAGGATTTAAGTAAGGCTCGATTTAGACTACCATGTTAATGGATAAGTCTTTCCAACATCAGGGGGAGAAATAAAAGGCTGGAAAGAAAAGTAGTTTGAATGAATTATCATTGATCCTCGGACTATAGAATGTGAAATAGAAGTCCAAAAGATAGTTCATTCACAAAACTTATTGTATCAGTTGCCAGATACATTTACTGACCCAAATATAGTGATTGAGTCACTTACCAGCTGTAAATGCTCTAATAAGAATTGATGTCCCAGAAGGACAATATCAAGCTGCTAGTGAGTCTAAAGAACGCATGAAGCGTGATAGACTTGTCGGTTCCAAATATTAAATCCTCGAAAAAGTAAAAGAGCATAAATTGACAATGGTCAAACCGAGGAAACAAATATTTTTGAGTGATCTCCAGAAGAGACATTAAACATGACAAATAAGAAATTCAGGTACCTGAGACAATGATGAGATCTCGAGAAATTACTTATGTCATGTATAGAATAAAATGGAACCAAAAGCAAATCGACGTCGTAAATAATATATTTGCATACAATGTAGCAGTTGATATTATGAATGATAAAGAGGATCATGAAACAAAGTCTATTGCATTGTGTACACAAAGTAATGATTTGGCCAAATCAAAAGAAGCAATAGACACAAAACTAAAATCTCTTAGAAAGAGAAAAAGTATTTGTACACGTTCGTCACGTCGACAATGATGACAACAAATCGCACAGAAACACATAATTAACACAGAAATCACCCAAACATCATCACATAATCCTCATATCATAAGAACACCTCAAGAAGAACATTCAATCAATCCGGATCTAGTGAATTGCGAACCCACAGTCATGCACTCACCTCAAACGGGTTCAACAAGGGAAAAAGGAAGAGAGAAAGATGCACAACGATGAGCAGAACTCCAATCCAACATCAAAACTCGAAAATCTCTCAAAAAACTTGACTTTTCTCCTATGCCGCCTCTGAACTCGAAAATTCTCCAAAGAGAAGACGGCTGCTCCCTTTTAAACGTTATTTTAGGGTTTTCTCCACTAAACCGGTCCAAACCAATTCACTTAAATTGAACTAACGAAATTCCCAATTTTTAGTTTACGGATGTTAAAAGAGTTTACATAGTATGTATCATGAAAGCGATCTCGAGCACACCATGCTAGCATGTCTGCCTTGTTGTTTTTCAACTTTGGAATGTAATCAATGGAAAATGACGTGAACATGTTCATGCACTTTGTGAATTCCTCCAGCACGATTGAGAAAGCATGCCACTCTTCAGGTCTAGACACCATCTACATCAACTCCGAACAGTGTCTCGAATTTCATGACCAATTTTGTCTAACCAACATGCTCTGCATAGCTCATACTAGTGCATATAGTTCTGTTTGTAGAGTTGTGAGACCCCTTCTTAGATTGCTTGCCCCCATTGATCGCGGGATCAGGTCTTCCCTTTTCCTATCCCTGATTCTGCAAGTGCACAGATCAAAAGTAGTAAACGGGTATCGAACACAAGGAGCAGATAAGTACACTTCGAGTATTGCAAGTCTAATATAGCTAGAAAACAAGTATGATTTAGGGTTTTTGATTGTGTAACAAAGTAAATCAAACAGCAGATTAAACGGTTTATGAAAATCAATAGAGGGAAACGCTAGGCAATGAGAAACTCGCAGAGATTCAAGGTTAACAAGATATTAGAAGGTTCGCTAGGGTTTGCGCTATCTAGAACTCAGGTCACGATTGTATGATCTTTCCACTGTCGAGGCTCCGACCCCTTTGTTAATCTACCTAGTCGCTAAACTTTTGGTATGTCCCTAGGTGATTAAATCAAGCAATAGTTCGTTCAAGACCCAATTGTTCACAACCCCGCATAGATCAACTTTCGCAGTCTATGAAGTTTTGCTCACCAAATACTTAGTTCAGGTTATATAGCAAGCTTTTGGAGAGTATATGAAACCTAAGATCTGATGCTAGTTGATCAGAAAAGCAAGCAGCAATGAATTCAAGCAGAGGCGAAGATGCGATATAATAAACCCTATGTGACTTCTAACAACCTATCAAACCATGAACTCTTTGATAGATCTCACAACCTAACTAGTGAATTACTCAGACATAATCAAAGCAAAAACACAAGAGATGAAGAAAACATGATTGCAATAAAACTCAAAGTATGAAATCGAATACAAGGGCGGCTCTCTTTTCACAAGAGGCTAAAAAGCTATATATATAGTGCTAGGTCTTTTGAGGCGGCTTAGGGTTAAGCCGGGCTTGAAAATATGAAATCGGGCTTCAAAACGGGCTTCGGGTCGACCGCGGCGTTGGGACGGTCGGTCGGGACGATCGGCCGGACAGTCGGGTCGTGGCCGAGTCGGAACGGTCGTGCGGCGGTGGTGAGACGAGTTGCGCGGCCGCGAGGCGTTCTTCCCGGCTCGCGCGGCGTGATCGTGCGCGGCGTGGCGTGGCGGTTGTGGCGTGGCCGACCGCGGGCTTGAGTTTCCCGGGTCGTGATGCGTGATCGGCCGAGTCGGTTTTGGACTTTGGCCGAGACTTCAGACGGACGGACACTTTGGCCGAGCGCGGAACATCGTTCCTCGGCCAGCCGGACTGCGCGGTTGGGCGCTGTTCTCGATAGAGCCGTCTGGACAGTCTTCACTCTTTTGGTTGTAACTCCTTTTCTACTCATCCAAATTAGGCCGTTCCAGTTGCGTTGGAAAGTTAACTCAATCAGAGCACGCAGGGAACTGGTCTTGATGAAATCCATTGAGTAGATCTTTTTCTGGGCCCTCTTAAAGTTGGTGCTTGTGCATGGAGCGGCTTGAAGTGCAAATCCTATGGTTTTGCTCCAAAATGCATCATTTCACCTGTTTAGACTCTAGACACTATAAACACAGTAAAACTACCTTTTTAGATAGAAAACCTGCCAAAAACCATTAGAAAACAATGCTAAAACAGTATAAAAAGTGGTAAATTAGAGGTATATCAACTCCCCCAGACTTAGATCTTTGCTTGTCCTCAAGCAAAAAGAATCTAAATCCGTGAAAGAGGTTTGAAAACGTGGAAGCTCCCTTGCTCTTTTGAATATCCTGTGAAAGGTTCCTTTCCTGTATTCCACTATGAACATAGACAACATAAGGTTAGCTTCACATACACCCTGCAAGTTTAGCGAACAATACCAACCCAACTAGTCTCATCCAGCAATCCAAACTCTCTATTGCTAACCTCTTGCATAAATTTAAAGCGTGAATTCTTTATCAAGGGGACATCGATCAATTGAACTTGTTCTTACCCACTTGATCCTCTCCAAGATTGTCTTTAAGTGCAATGAGTTCTTTTCCTCTCTCTTTCTCACATCAGAACTTTGAAAGGTCAATTTATCCCTACTTTTCTAGGGTATCATTTTATTTTTTCTATTGACCCTTCTTTCAACCACAGGATAAGTCTTTAGCTTGTTCCTTGTTTGACTAAGGTATTCCATAAGACATGAAGGTACAGACATATGCATTCCTCATGCTTACTTGTTTTCCTTGTGCTCTTTGAGCTTTTTCTCATAAACATTACTTACCATTTGGGATGGGAGAGAGAGGAGAACTCTTTAAAGATTAGACAAATCTCATTGAAAATCAAGCAAGGAACTGTCGACATGTATGCCAACCCCCTTGACAAGAGTAATTAAGATTGATTAAGGGTGAGGTTAACTCTAGATTGCTTGGTTACCTTAGAAATTTTGCTGAGCTAGCATGTCGATCCACTGTAAGAGCTTCTGTTAGGCTTGTGCCTTTAGCTGGTTTCTGCTCTAGGGTCATGGATTGTTAGCATAACACTCTCAATTCTCAAAGCAAGTTCATAACTTCCGGACTGGTTTTTGACTCAATAAAACTTTTTGAAAAACATGAAACAAAGTGAATAAAACATAAGAAAAGAAAGAAAAATGCATTAGTAACACAATAAAACTCCCCCCAGACTTAACTTGCACCGTCCCGGTGAAAGCAAATCACATTAAGGTGAGAGGTAATATTCAAAAAAAAGAAAATTAAAGAAAGAAAATGAAAAGAAATGACCTTCAATGGGTTGCCTCCCATTCAGCGCTTTGTTTAAAGTCATTAGCTTGACTGTATGGCACTTCCTTAAGGATCTGGTGGATCGCCAAGAGCCAGTGTGGTCTCCTGTGGTATGGTGGTGGAGGCTAGGTAAGGTTTTAACCTTTGTCCATTGACTGTAAAGTCTCCTCCCATTGGGTCCCATAGTACCACTGCTCCATAGGGGCGAACTTCTTTAATCCTGAATGGTCCTGACCATCTTGAGCGAAGCTTTCCTGGAAAGAGTTTCAACCTTGAGTTGAATAGTAGAACTTGGTCGTTTGGCGCAAAGTTCTTTGGGATGATCTTGCGGTCATGGAAAGCTTTGGTTCTCTCCTTATAGATCTTTGAATTCTCATAAGCCAGATGCCTAATCTCATCAAGCTCATTTAGCTGAATCAATCTTCTTTCTCCTGCTGTCTTTAGGTTGAAGTTCAACTCCTTAATAGCCCAAGCTGCTTTGTACTCCAGCTCCACAGGTAAATGACATGCTTTACCATAAACAAGATGAAAGGGGGTGGTACCAAGTGGTGTTTTGAAGGCAGTGCGGTATGCCCATAGAGCATCATCTAGTTTGGCACTCCAATCCTTTCTTGTCTTGCCTGTTGTCTTCTGAAGTATGCTCTTGAGTTCTCTGTTTGAGATCTCAACTTGTCCACTAGTTTGGGGTGGTAAGGAGAGGCAACTTTGTGAGTGACTCCATGCTTCTTCAAAAGGTTGGCAAAGATTCTGTTGATGAAATGTGAACCTCCATCACTTATGACTATCCTAGGCACTCCAAACCTTGGAAAAATGATGGATTTAAACATCTTGATGACCACTTGTGCGTCATTAGTAGGGCTGGCAATGGCTTCCACCCATTTGGAGACATAATCAACTGCCACTAGAATGTATTGGTCACCAAAAGAGGTTGGGAAGGGTCCCATAAAGTCAATGCCCCAAACATCAAAAACTTCAACTTCTAGTATAAAGTTCTGTGGCATCTCATTCCTCTTGCTTATATTTCCCATTCTTTGGCAAGCATCACATCTTGATATGAATGCATGAGCATCCTTAAACATAGTTGGCCACCAAAATCCAGCTTGTAGGACCTTGGATACTGTCTTGTAAGTGGCAAAGTGCCTGCATAGCTAGAACTATGACAAGCAAACAATATTCCTTCTACCTCTTCCTCAGGTATGCATCTTCTAAACATTCCATCTGAACATTTCTTGTATAAGTAAGGTTCATCCCAGTAGTACCTTCTTACATCACGCAGAAATTTCTTCTTTCTGTAGCCAAAGAAGTTTGGTGGTGGGTATTCAGCTGCAAGGAAGTTTGCTATGTGGCGAAACCATGGTGTGTTTGATGATGAGATCTTTGTTCCTGGCCTGTGATGGCCTAGTTGTCCATGCTTATTGCTAGCTTCAGCTGCATAAACTGTTTCTTCAGGTAGCCTATCATCAAGGGTAGATTTTCTTCAACTCTCATCCTTGAAAGATGATCAGCTACTCCATTATCTGCTCCTCTTCTATCCTTGATCTCAAGATCAAATTCTTGCAATAGTAGTATCCATCTCAACAATCTTGGCTTGGCATCTTTCTTAGATAAAGATACCTTAATGCTGCATGATCAGAATGAACTATAACTTTCGATCCCACCAAGTATGATCGAAATTTCAAATGCAAAGACAATAGCAAGAAGCTCCTTTTCTGTTGTGGCATACTTGCATTGTGCCTCATCAAGTGTTCTGCTGGCATAGTAGATCACATGTAGCTTCTTGTCTTTTCTTTGTCCAAGCACTGCTCCTACTGCATAATCACTTGCATCACACATTATCTCAAAAGGTAGTTCCCAGTTTGGAGGTTGAACCACTGGCGCACTGACCAATGCATCTTTGATCTTAGTGAAAGCCTTGTGACACTCCTCTGTGAACTCAAAGTTAATATCCTTGCATAATAGGCGTGTTAGCGGCCTTGCTATCTGTGAGAAATCTTTAATGAACCTCCTGTAGAACCCAGCATGTCCTAGGAAGCTTCTGATATCTTTGACTGTCTTGGGCGGCTGAAGGTTTGTCATTACTTCAATCTTGGCCTTATCAACTTCTATGCCTCTCTCTGAGATTCTATGTCCAAGCACTATTCCATCTCTAACCATAAAGTGGCACTTCTCCCAATTTAGAACTAGGTGCTTGTCTTCACATCTCTGTAGCACTCTTCCAAGATTTCCCAAACATGATTCAAAGGAAGAACCATATACTGAGAAATCATCCATGAAAACCTCCATAATCTCTTCTATGAGATCTGTGAATATGGACATCATACACCTTTGGAATGTAGCTGGAGCATTGCACAATCCAAAAGGCATTCTCCTATAAGCATATGTGCCATAGGGACAAGTGAATGTAGTCTTCTCCTGATCATCTGGGTGGATTGGAATTTGGAAAAATCCTGAGTATCCATCCAAGAAACAGTAGTATTGATGATTGGCAAGGCGCTCAAGCATCTGATCTATGAATGGCAAGGGGTAGTGGTCCTTGCGCGTGGAGGAGTTCAGCTTTCCTGTAGTCGACACACATTCTGTGTCCAGTGATTGTTCTTGTTGGAATGAGCTCATCATGTTCATTCTTGATGACTGTGATCCCTCCTTTCTTTGGCACGACATGTACAGGGCTGACCCATGCACTATCTGATATTGGATAAATCACTCCAGCCTTTCAATAGCTTCATTATCTCCTTCTTGACAACTTCCTTTAGGTTGGGGTTTAGGGTTTAGGGTTTAGGGTTTATAAGCTTCCTTGGAATCCATGAACTTGACTAAGCACTGAGCTTCTCTTTCCATGTATTCATACTCAGTCTCAGCCTTTGTCAAAGCTAGCTCTAAGGGATCAATAAGAAGGAGTTCATCCAGCACTTCTTCTCTTGTCTCTGCGAGCTCTCCAATCCAAAAAGCTTGACCATCTACAGTTGACTTCTCCATAGACTTGTTTACTTCGAAATTCATCACTATATCTCCAAGATGCAAGTCAATCTTTCCATTCTTGACATCTATTATAGCTCCTGCAGTAGCTAGGAATGGCCTTCCCAAGATAAGAGGGTCTTTAGGTTGGTGTTCCAGCTCAAGAACTACAAAATCAGCAGGGATGTAGCAATCTCCAACCATGATTGGAACATCCATAATAACACCAACAGGGCGGCGAACAGATCTGTCTGCAAAGACTAGAGATATCTTTGTAGGTTTGAAGTCAGTGATGCCCAATAGCTTGGCCACTGAGTAAGGCATTAGGTTCACACTTGAACCCAAATCACAAAGTGCTCTATGGAAGTGTGTAGAACCGATCTTGCAAGACAAAACAAAACTTCCTGGGTCGTTCAGCTTCTCTGGCATGCGATTCTGAAGTATGGCGCTACACTCCTTTGTAATCATCATTGCTCCTTCTTCAAGACTTACATTGCTTGTGAGTATGGCTTTCATATATTTTCCTGAGAGATGGAATTATCTGGCAGGCATCAATGAAAGGCAACCTTACTGAAAGTTGGCTAACAAGATCCTTGAGCTTTGCTTGCTCCTTCTCCTTCTTGGGTTGAGAAAGAACATTTCTGTATGGGATCTTTGGCTCATACACTCTTGGTTCTTCAGGTGGCTTCTCCACTTCCTCCTGAGTTCCTGGTTCTATTCTGACATGGACTTCTTTGGTGGTTCAGTACCATCTCCAATTATGACATACTCCATTGGTTTTTTCTTGACTGGCGGCTTTGATTCCTCTTGATCTGGGTATGCTGGTGGCTCATACTCCATGAACAGAATCACCCAAGAGGGATGTTCACGTCGACAATGATGACAACAAATCGCACAGAAACACATAATTAACACAAAAATCACCCAAACATCATCACATAATCCTCATATCATAAGAACACCTCAAGAAGAACATTCAATCAATCCGGATCTAGTGAATTGCGAACCCACAATCATGCACTCACCTCAAAAGGGTTCAACAAGGGAAAAAAGGAAGAGAGAAAGATGCACAACGATGAACAGAACTCCAATCCAACATCAAAACTCGAAAATCTCTCCAAAAACTTGACTTTTCTCCTCTGCAGCCTCTGAACTCGAAAATTCTCCAACGAGAAGACGGCTGCTCCCTTTTAAACGTTATTTTAGGGTTTTCTCCACTAAACCGGTCCAAACCAATTCACTTAAATTGAACCAACGAAATTCCCAATTTTTAGTTTACAGATGTTAAAAGAGTTTACATAGTATGTATCATGAAAGCGATCTCGAGCACACCATGCTAGCATGTCTGCCTTGTTGTTTTTCAACTTTGGAATGTAATCAATGGAAAATGACGTGAACATGTTCCTGCACTTTGTGACTTCCTCCAGCAAGATTGAGAAAGCATGCCACTCTTCAGGTCTAGACACCATCTACATCAACTCCGAACAGTGTCTCGAATTTCATGACCAATTTTGTCTAACCAACATGCTCTGCATAGCTCATACTAGTGCATATAGTTCTGTTTGTAGAGTTGTGAGACCCCTTCTTAGATTGCTTGCCCCCATTGATCGCGGGATCAGGTCTTCCCTTTTCCTATCCCTGATTCTGCAAGTGCACAGATCAAAGTAGTAAACGGGTATCGAACACAAGGAGCAGATAAGTACACTTCGAGTATTGCAAGTCTAATATAGCTAGAAAACAAGTATGATTTAGGGTTTTCATTGTGTAACAAAGCAAATCAACAGCAGATTAAACGGTTTATGAAAATCAATAGAGGGAAACGCTAGGCAATGAGAAACTCGCAGAGATTCAAGGTTAACAAGATATTAGAAGGTTCGCTAGGGTTTGCGCTATCTAGAACTCAGGTCACGATTGTATGATCTTTCCACTGTCGAGGCTCCGACCCCTTTGTTAATCTACCTAGTCGCTAAACTTTTGGTATGTCCCTAGGTGATTAAATCAAGCAATAGTTCGTTCAAGACCCAATTGTTCACAACCCCGCATAGATCAACTTTCGCAGTCTATGAAGTTTTGCTCACCAAATACTTAGTTCAGGTTATATAGCAAGCTTTTGGAGAGTATATGAAACCTAAGATCTGATGCTAGTTGATCAGAAAAGCAAGCAGCAATGAATTCAAGCAGAGGCGAAGATGCGATATGATAAACCCTATGTGACTTCTAACAACCTATCAAACCATGAACTCTTTGATAGATCTCACAACCTAACTAGTGAATTACTCAGACATAATCAAAGCAAAAACACAAAGAGATGAAGAAAACATGATTGCAATAAAACTTAAGTATGAAATCGAAATACAAGGCGGCTCTCTTTTCACAAGAGGCTAAAAAGCTATATATATAGTGCTAGGTCTTTTGAGGCGGCTTAGGGTTAAGCCGGGCCTTGAAAATATGAAATCGGGCTTCAAACGGGCTTCGGGACGGCCGCGGGATGATCGGCCGGACAGTCGGGTCGTGGCCGAGTACGTGAGACGAGTTGCGCGGCCGCGAGGCATTACTTCCCGGCTTGCGCGGCATGATCGTGCGCGGCGTGGCGTAGGCGGTTGTGGCGTGGCCGACCGCGGGCTTGAGTTTCCCGGGTCGTGATGCGTGATCGGCCGAGTGGTTTTGGACTTTGGCCGAGACTTCAGACGGACGGACACAGTTTTGGCCGAGCGCGGAACATGCGTTCCTCGGCCAGCCGGACTGCGCGGTTGGGCGCTGTTTTCTCGATAGAGCCGTCTGGACAGTCTCCACTCTTTTGGTTGTAACTCCTTTTCTACTCATCCAAATTAGGCCGTTCCAGTTGCGTTGGAAAGTTAACTCAATCAGAGCACGCAGGGAACTGGTCTTGATGAAATCCATTGAGTAGATCTTTTTCTGGGCCCTCTTAAAGTTGGTGCTTGTGCATGGAGCGGCTTGAAGTGCAAATCCTATGGTTTTGCTCCAAAATGCATCATTTCACCTGTTTAGACTCTAGACACTATAAACACAGTAAAACTACCTTTTTAGATAGAAAACCTGCCAAAAACCATTAGAAAACAATGCTAAAACAGTATAAAAAGTAGGTAAATTAGAGGTATATCACCCATCAACCATTCCCCAATATGGGTATTGTAATAGTACCATCCCAATCCCGCCCGGTTAACATCCTCTTTACATGATTCATCAACTTGACATATAACACCCCATTCTGTCATCTGGTGGGGATTCCGTATGCAAGGCCGCACCTCCATCAAAACCTCTTGATTTTGGGCTGTCTCCCAAGCTACTGCTTATGTTTCTGCTAGGATAATAATGTCTCGGGGATCCCAATTCAAATTGGAAAACATTTTGTCGTTCCTAGCTTTCCAAATATACCACATCAATCATGGGAACGTTAACATCTTATCATCCTTTGGCAAATGCTAGAATATGAGCTACATTAGAAAATTATGCAGCACCCAGAAACCATATCGGTATTAGTGACAACACCCATACATGAATTGCCGGTGGGCACTCAAAAATGGCATGGTTAATAGACTCCTCCGCCAGACCACATCTCGTACATAGAGGGTCTACTAGATCCCTCGACTGTGTAATCCACCATTAACCGAGATACAACCAGTTATAATGAAACAACCAAGCTTGATCTTTATTTAATAACTAAATCAATTTCAGCAAAAGTCTTAAAATAAATCAATTAAATTAAATAATCAAATCATTCAAAAAATGATTCAAAAATATAAAATTCTAGTAACCAAAACACCAGGTTCAATTAACAACTCAAACAATAAATCATTTCCTATCATTCCCTTCTTCCAGCTTGATTTCGCAACCACGCAATTCTTTTAAATGCATCACATAGAGAAAAGAGATGCATAAATATTTCAAAAATACTTAGTGAGACTTCCGTGTACAGGCCAATTACACAATTTACTAGACAATAAACAGTAAACAGCAGCACATAAATCACAACAGCAAAACGCAGAAACAGCTGTGCTATCGAGTGACACCCCCTGGTGTCTATAACGCCCCGACCACTCATCCCGCTGAGTCACCCCCGCCCTCTCTCGGCCTGTGGGCCTCACCCCTGTCTGACGGCCGGTGCCATTATTTTGATTTGCTCTAATTACTTGTTTACTATCCTTGCAATCAACACCCGGCCTTCCCCCATATTTTGGCCTCGCTTACACGGTTTCGAAAATCACTTCCCGGAAGATCATTCATCCTTCCACTACTCCAGCCCAAGCACGCTTAACTCTAAATTTACTTATGGACCATTGACTGAAAAGGTAACTGCACTTTATTGACATAGGTAGCCAAATCAATTCTCTTAAGCCTCTCCTCATTTATCACAAATCGGGATGTTACAATTCACCCCCACTAACTGCGCACAACGTGCTCGTTGCACACCTAGATCGTCACCCCCTGACGGTGTGAATCAAGGCCACTCCACTTGACTCCACACTCTCATCTGGGTCCACCCATACCAAATTATAGTGTCAATCAACACCAAATAGTGTCGCCGTGTCGACCGACACTCCCATGGTGTCACTCGATACCGTCTCGCAGTCAAAGCTCCCAAAGCAACGAAAGATTGCGAAAACACAAGATTAACAGCAGTTAACACCAATTATCATGATTAAAACCAAATCAACATGAACTCATCAAGAACATAAGCAATCAAACAGTTTTCTAGCAATCACGAGCCTACGGTCACACAGTCACCTCTAGAACAGATTGAAAAGGGGAAAGAAGAACGACAAACCGCACTTCAATCTGCCTTTAAAACTCGGATTTTCTCCACAAAATCGCCTCCTCTCCTCTCTGGAAACTCAGTCTCGAAAACTGTGCTAAAAAATGCGGCTGCTCTCTTCTATTTACGCGATTAGGGCTTTTCTCGCCCAAAAACGGCCGAACCAGCAACTTAAATCGAATCGGATGTGATTTCCAATGACCGGTGTCGCTCAACACCCCTTACAAAAATCAATTATTTGGTTTACAGATGTTACATATAATTTTCTAGATAAAGGGAATAATCTTTGGCCGGCATTGAACCTTCCATGCATACGCGTGGAACCAAACCTTGGAAGAGTTTCGCCTGACTTTGGGACTAATTTTGTAGTTTTACAATTATTTTTATATAAATCTTTCAAGTCTAGTTACTAAATCAACTGAAGTTTTAACAAAAATTGAAGAAATTTTTTTTTTTTTTAGAATTGTGGAGTTTTTAATATACAACCGGTTATATTTTAATTTTTGTCATATATATTTGAGTTAATTCAATTTTTATAAAGAATAATTTAGTTTTGTTTTGTTAGTATTAGAAGAAAATAGAATTTATTTATTTTATAAACTCTTTAATACAACATAAATAGTATTTTTGAATTAAAAATGAAAAATAAAAAGGTTATTAATTAATTACAGATTTAAATTATTTTATATATTGATGTGGAATGATACTATTGGTTATTTAAATTTTGGAAATTTTCTTATTTTGGAAATATTTATGTGGACCAATAACATCGCATTTTGAAATTATAGGTGGACGCTCTTAGAGGCATTTAGCCTCAATTTTTATAAATTTTAGAGATTTTAAGAAATAGACATGTTGGGGTGTCATTTTTCAAAACTACACCTCTAGTGTTACAATTTTCAAAAATATCTATCTATTCAAAAAATATATATTTTCTTAATATATAAATTTGGGTTACTAATCCTTTAATACCGTTTAGATTTTGGGATTTAGGATTTGAAAGTAAGGGTTTATGGTAGATTTTAGGTTTTAGATTCCTTTTTTTCAATGAAAAAGTGTATATTTGCAAAATAAATAGCTTAAAAGTGTTGTTTTGAAATTGACACACAAAAATATGTAGTTTTGAAATTTACTATTTAATATTTAAAATTTAAAATTGATACAAAAAAAATACTTTTTGAAAATCGAGACACAAAAATACTTTTTTTTCTATTGTTTTATTTTTGTTCTTGATAAATATATATTTTCTATTTGATTTTTTTTTTTAATTTTAAAGTAGTAATCTATCCTTTTTAAAGTTAATCTTTAAAAAATTGAATTAATTTGGAAGTCTTGTACAAACTAGTTTAATCTGATATCTATAATCTAGGTTTCATCAAACTATTAAACATAATTTTGAGTCATAAACAAGGTATGAACATGACTATCTATCGAGAATAATGTAGCTTCAGTTTCATTCAATATTAGATTAGACCCTACATATACGTGGGTTTATTATAAGATTTTGAAATAAATCATGAAAAAATATTAAACAAAATTTGATCCCGATTATAAATCTCTAAATAAAAAAATATTGGTGATCTTGTTATATTTTATTATAATTGACATTTTTTTAATTCATGATTTGAAAAATGAGTTAATTTGTTTTCTTTTTATTTTTATCTAAAATAGGAAGACTTACACGTGTCTAAATCTGATGGACTGAATAATTTGTTAAACTTTTATTATTCTATTTAAGAGATTTCAAATGATGATTTTTTTAATACAGTTTTAAGTTTTTAAACGAACAAAAAATTGAAAATTAAACTATTTAAAATTATGATATCAGTCCGTTAATATTAGTTAGTTGCTCGATAATTGTTTTCTATTTTTTTCTATTTAAATTGTTTTTTTTTCAGTTTTGTTTTTGTCTCAGACCACTATAACAACAATAATTTTGATTTTGATTCCAACTGATTTAGAGTTGAATATTCTTCATTGATACTTTTGAAGACAAGATTTTTTATTTCTTAATGAGAGAGAAGTTTAAAGAAAATGGTTTTGTGAAAAAAAAACCTCAAACTATATTATCTTTGCAAGAAAAACCCTCACCTCAAATAAATGTAAGTCAATCCACTCACCTCAATAGTCACCCGCAATATAGCCTTTGCCTATATCCATGACGTGGCATTAATCATATGTCTTTAAAAGGAAAACATTTTGTGCAAAAAAACCTCAAAATAAATTATTTTACAACAAAAACTCTCACGTCAAACAAGTATAAATACATCCATATACTTGAAAAGTCACCAAAATAAAATCTACTAGGATTGACCCACGCCCTGCGCGGGATGATGGTTTTAAATTTTTATTTTTATTTGAAAAATGTCTATTTAACTACCTTAACTAATTTGTTGGTTCTTATCTTCGTTTAAGATTTACAAATTAAGCATTTTAAAACATTTAAAAAAAAAGATGAATAAAAAGCATCGACCACATATTAAACATGATAGATTTAAACATATATAAAACTTAAATGAGTATAATATAGTAAGATATTTTAAAAGAACAAAAAAATGAAAATAAAACATTATTCTTTAAAACAACTATACTTCATGTATTTCATAAAATAAGTTAGAAATTTTTTAATATTCAAATTTTTGATAAAAACAAATTTCACTTTTTAATCAAGTTAAACAATTTCAAATATTTTAATATCTTAATATAAATATTTTCAACTTTTTCACTGTGAAGTATTTATAATAATGTAAATTTTATTTGTTTTAATTAATTTTATTAAAAACAATATGAAATCAAATATACTGATATATTTGGATGCTTATTGAATTAAGCTTCCATGTCTTATGATTTCTTATTATTTTGATCATTTTTATAATACTCTTATGAACTATCACATTAGTTCATTTCCAGTGTGAGACTTGACTTTGATGATATACTTATTATTTTCATCATTTTAGTAATTGATATCTGTTTTTAAAAATTCAAATTAGTATTTGTGTACATTTTTTTATATGGGTTATGTGATAATATAATTATCTTTATAAAATTTAGTCTAAGAAAAAAATGAGAGAAAAATATAGAATTTAAGTAAACAATTAATTTGATTTATTTGATAAAATATGGAAAGAATGAGAATATCTTTATGACTAAATGCTGAAATTTGTATAAATAATTGATATAAACTATTCTCTAACCAAACTAATTCAATGGCATATTATGTAAATAGTCTAGTAAATGATCCCTTAAGTAAAAAAACCCTTGAAAGTGAACCATGTGATGACACATCAGCATGACATTTTTGATAATAACACATGAATGAAATGTTTCTTTTATATTTGTCTTCTCTTTCAATATATTAGGGATTTGAGCAAGGTTATGTATATTCAAATTGAATCGTTTTCTCTAAAATAAAATAGTTTAGAATGAATCATACCACAAAAAACTAAGAATAAGAATATTCCAGAAATTGTAAAATACTAAATTATATTTCCCGTACATATGTGGGACCTATGACGAATCTCAAAACCAAAAAAACCATAAAAAAATAATCTGAAATTATCAAAATAATCATATAAATAATCTGAATATATCTAAATATTTATGTGCATCAAGATGTCTTATTTATATCTATTTATATAAAGTTCATGTTCCTCTCTTCTGGTTGCTTCTAAATTCTCCATTTTGCCATGTCATCATCTTATTTAATTTATTATATTTTTTCTTTTTAATATTTTAATTTCATAATAATTAGCATTCATTGCTATAATAAGTTCAATTTAACAAGAATATGAAAAGTCATTTAAAAAAAAAATACTATATATAGATCTACAAAAACTTATTATTTAGTAAATTTATTTTTGTTAGATTATATAATTTACATTGATGTCAAGATATTATATAAAGAACCATGATTTTTTTAACTATTTTGGGATGAAATGAGACGAGACCGGACATAATGAGACGGAAAAAACATAACGAGAGAAATGGGATAAGACTGGACGAGACGAGACAGACAAATTAGACATGACGAGATGAAAAAATGGAATGAGATGGGATTGGACGGGACGGGATGAAAGGGACATAATGGGACGAGAAGGGACGGGACATAAATTTCACCTACCCCTAATTATATTTAGGGACCGGACAGAGACAAGACAAAACAGAAAAAAAAATATAACAGATAGGATGGGACTCGATAGGGCGGACAAGACGGAATGGGACGGAGAAAGAACGGGACAAGATGAGAAGGAATGAAATGGGACGGGATGAGACTATACGGGAATTTTGTCTATCCTTAGTTATATTTAGGGAACGGGACGAGAAGAAATGGAAGGAACATGATGGGACATAACAAAATGGAAAGGAACAGAAGGACAAGACGGACAGACGGACGGATGAGACGAGAAAGAACGGACATGATGAAAATGAACGAAATGGGATACAATGGACAAGACAGTACGTTAATTTTGCATTCTAATTATTTTTAATTAATATGTGTAATATTTTTGAAACAATAATAAACAATAGAAATAAACTAAATTTGCGGAAAAAGAATAAAATTAACACAATAATATAAATTCCCGCGCGAAGCGCGGATCACCTCCTAGTATAATTATAAAATGTAATGTAAAAAAGTTACATCTGAACTTGTTGTCTCCACGTTACCAGCGCCTTTTTTCCTTTGTAAGGCTTAGGTCTCTCTATCCCATTGAGAGGGTTTCAATCCTATCGTTTTAGGCAAGTCGAGCTGAAGATATTCTCTTTTTCTTCCAGTTTCAGAAAGTTTTCATATTTCACCTTTGCTTTTTTGGCAAGTTTCGAAGTTTCTCGAACAAGTTTTACCCTAATTCTGTAAGAAGAGGAGCCGCCGTCAAGATCTCTGAGGTCTTCTCGCTTGGTTTCTGATCATCTTGACAAAGTTTCGTCTACGATTGATGGAGATGGATCTTAACAAAGCTCTACAATCAATGACCATAGAAGGAGACAGGCCCTTTAAGCTCCCCATCCACCAGAGATATTGTTCTACTGAAAGGAACAAGATGAGCATCATGGGAAAGATGCTTAACCCGGAGAATCAAAACATGAAAAGCCTCATATGGGATCTCCCGAGGGCTTTTAACTGTTTTGATAGAGTACATGGAGTAGCGCTCACGAAAGATAGTTTTCAGTTTTTCTTTAAGTATGAGGAGGATCTCAAGAAGGTCTTGAAAGTTGGCGTATACACACAGGATGAGTGGTGTGTCACGTTATAGAGATGGGTTGAAAAACCGCCTGATGATTACCTAACGATCCTCCCAGTTTGGGTGCGATTATATGAGGTGCCGGTGAACTACTATACTGAAGCCACAATCACAGACATCGCAGAGGTAATTGGACAAGTGATTGAAGTAGCATTTGATCCAGAAAAGCCCCAAAGCCAGAGGTATGTAAGAGCAAGGGTCCTCTTTGACACCTCAAAACCGCTTCGTAACTTCAAGACAGTGGAATTACCGGAAGGAGATGTAGTTACGGTGACATTTGAGTATGAAAGAATCCGGAAACGATGCTTCCAGTGTCTAAGGTTGACACATGATAAGTCTAGATGCCCTGAGAATCCGGCTCGACGGAGTAACCTTGTCGCAAAGCCAGCTCCCGCTAAGGCAATTGTACCGGCAGCTATAGTGGTTCAGACCCCGCGGCTGCTACCAGATGATCCTCTGTTTGGTGTTCTAACACAGGCAAGTGGAAGATAGCTAATGAAGTGCTAGAAGTAGCCAGGCAATATCTCCAGGTGGTGGACCCGGCTGAGAAGAAAGCAAGGGAGTTGAGAGTGAATTAGTCTATCTTGGATTTGGAAGGAGATACATTAGGACAAAAGACTCTGTTACGTCTTGAACCAGCCCCAATCTTCTCTACAGATGTCAATAAAGGGAAAGGACTAGTATTCCACTTTCCGGAGCAGAATGTTTCTGCAGAGCGAGGGGATAGATTGATGAGAGACGCTCAGCTCTCTGGAGGACGCTCCAATCTAGAATTGCTCCGTAGTATGGAGTTGGCAGCATCAACTGAATCTTCCTTTGCTGACTGTTCTACGGGTTTTAGGGTTGGCACTTCTGGTGCTAGATCTTCCGGGACAGGGACAGGAAAGAAGAAGAAGTATCGCAGACGACCCCAATCAGTTACTAGGAAGTCGCAGAAAGGGGACGGTACTAACAATCTCAATGATACAGAGCAACAACAGAGCTCTGGCCAGCAGGAGTCTAGTCACAGTAAAAAGAAGGCAGAAGAAGTTGGAGAGGTCTCAGCCAAGTGTATTAAGAGAGACCAAACAAGAGTGGATCCAATTGATCTGCCGAAGATCAAATAGGTATCTTGAGCTGGAATTGTCGCGGAGTTGGGAATCCCGTGACAATCGATTGTATCAAGGAAATGTGCCGGGTGCATTTCCCTGATATTTTGTTCCTGATGGAGACAAAAAACAAGTTGGAAGTTCTGGCAGAGTTACATGTTGCACTAGGATACAAATGGTTTCGCACAATTGAACCTGATGGTCTTAGTGGTGGTCTTGCTATCTTTTGGAAGGAAAATTTGGATGTTGTAGTCCTTCTAGAAGATAAAAATGTTCTGGATATGAAGATTACAAGTGGTGGTCGGGTTTGGTTTCTCTCATGCATATATGGGAATCCGAATCCAAAGTTTCGAGCTGAAGTTTGGGAACGAGTGACTAGATTTGGCTCTAGTCGGAAGGACGCTTGGTGTATGATAGGTGATTTCAATGAGATTTTATCTAATGACGAGAAGATTGGTGGTAAAGTGAGGCATTTGTCTAGTTTTAGACAGTTTCAGACTTTTCTGCAAAACTGTGACATGAAGGAGCTGGGGAGCACAGGGAATAAGTTTACGTGGAGAGGAGTTAGAAACAAGCAAACCATCAAATGTTGCTTGGATCGATGTGTTGCTAACCCGTCGTGGTTATCGATGTTCCCCAGTGGACATCAATGGTTCCTTTAGAGGTATCCATCTGATCACAGACCTGTGTTGGTCAAGTTTATGGGAGAGAACGAACCATTTCGTGGTCAGTTCATGTTTTATAAGAGATGGGCCCTAGACCCTAATTTTTCAACTGTTGTCAAAAATGCTTGGGAGAGTGGAAGTTCATCTCACTTGGGGACAAGTCTAACACGTATTGTTAACTGCCGGAGAGCAATTAGTGGATGGAAAGAGCAAAATGGGTCAAATTCTTTGACAAGGATCACAAAGCTACGAGAAGAACTGGAAGAGGAAGAAGAGGAGCGATATCCATGGTTTACGAGAATTGCTGAGATCAAAATCGAGCTAGCTATAGCTTATTGTGACGAGGAAATCTTCTGGAGACAGAAATCTCGAGAGAAGTGGTTGAGGGAAGGAGATAGGAATACAAAGTTCTTTCAAGCTTCTGTGAAATCTACGAGAGCTAAAAACTCGTTGCAGTTTTTACTTGATGAGCACGAAAGAGAACAGTTTTCTAATCGGGATAAGAGTGAAGTGGCAGTGCGGTATTTCTCCGATTTGTTTAAGACTTCTTCCCCGACGTCTTTCACTGAGATCTTCTCAGATTTTCTCCCTAGAGTGACAGACGCAATGAATGCTGGGCTTATATGTGATGTAACTTTGGAAGAAGTCCGCTTAGCTGTTTTTTCTATCGAGAGCGAGAAAACACCGGGCCATGATGGAATGACTGGATTCTTCTATAAAAAGTATTGGGAGATTGTGAAGCATCAGCTGTTTGAGGATGTGCGCCGTTTTTTTAGATGTGGAAAGATACAAGACGAATGGAACCATACGTATATCACCCTCATTCCAAAGATTAGTACACCTCGACGAATGACGGATCTCAGACCTATTAGCCTTTGTACGGTGTTATACAAGATCTTGTCTAAGATCTCACATCTCGACTGAAGAAGATTCTACCCGCAATTGTGTCTCCCACGAAGTCAGCTTTTGTTTCGGAGAGACTCATCTCTGATAACATCTTAATTGCCCATGAGATAGTCCACAGTCTGAGTTCACACCGTGAGATTTCGGAGAGTTTTATGGCCATTACGACTGATATGTCAAAGGCATACGATCGTGTGGAGTGGAGGTTTTTACGAGAGCTCTTGGTGGCTATGGGTTTCAGAACTATATGGATCAACTGGATCATGAGTTGTGTACAGACTGTCACGTACTCTGTCCTAATAAACGGCCAACCGTACGGAATGATACGACCAAAACGTGGCTTGCGTCAAGGTGACCCCTTATCTCCATTTCTCTTTGTCTTATGTACGGAGGCTTTGGTCCATTTGCTTAATCGAGCTGAAAGTCAAGCAAGAATCACGGGTATTCAGTTTCATCCTAGTGGTCCGTCCATTAATCACATGCTATTCGCGGATGATAGCTTGTTTATATGTCAAGCTACGAATCAACAGTGTCAGGAGCTTTTCGAGGTCTTAAGTGATTATGAAAGAGTTTCGGGTCAGAAAATCAATGCTTCAAAATCGGCCATTACTTTTGGCTCACGTGTCTCGGCAGAAATCAAAGCTTGGATCAAGGCCAAATCCAATATCCTCACTGAAGGTGGAACAGGCAAGTACCTGGGATTACCGGAGTATCTAAGTGGATCCACAAACAACAGCTTATGGGGTACATAAAGGAAAATTGTTATAAGAGACTAAACGGTTGGTATGCTAAGTCCTTGTCTCAGGGAGGTAAAGAAGTGCTACTCAAGTCGGTGGCAATGGCAATGCCTATGTATGCTATGACCTGCTTTAAACTTCCGGTGAAGCTCTGTAAAGATCTTACCAGTGCCATGATGACTTACTGGTGGAGTACAGAGGAGAATAAGAGCAAGATTCATTGGGTAGGCTGGGAGAAATTAACGCTGCCAAAGAAGGCTGGGGGCTTGGGATTTCGCGATATCCAAGTTTTCAACCAAGCTTTGCTTGCCAAACAAGCCTGGAGATTACTGCATGACCCCCAAAGCCTGTTCAGCCGGTTCTTTAAAAGTCGATACTATGCTGATGGTGATCTGTTGTCTGCTTCTAGTGGTCGCGGAGCATCATACGGGTGGAGGAGCATCATCTACGGCCGAGAACTTTTGAGGAAAGGGCTGAGACGCTCGATAGGTAATGGGAAAGCTACTCTGGTATGGGTGGACAATTGGCTCTATGACGGCATCCCAAGTCGACCTGGAGGAAGGCATTCCTTGATGAACATAGAGTTACGAGTCTCTGATCTTATTGATGAGACGAGGCAGAACTGGAATATGACTATACTCAGGGAGCTTTTTAATCGGGATGATATTGAGCTCATCTGTAGGCAGAGGCCATATACTTCCAGAGAAGATTCCTTTGTGTGGACAGGTACGAAGAATGGGGTGTATACAGTGAAGACGGGATATGATCTCATGAGTAAGATCAAACACAAAGATCTATATACTCAGGCCGAGGCACAACCATCAATGTATCCCATCTACGAGAAGTGTTGGAAGGTAAAATCTACTCCAAAAATCAAAGTCTTTATGTGGAAAGCATGCTCTGGATCCTTGGCAGTGATGGAGAGGCTGAGAACCAGAGGCATTAGGGGAGATTTGGGATGTCTACTCTGTCAGCATGAGTTGGAGTCGATAAATCATATCCTTTTCGAGTGTCCACAGGCAAGATTGGTGTGGGCCTTATCTAATGTTCCATCCCCGGAAAATGGGTTTTGCAGTTCTTTATTTGAAAACCTAAATTTATTCGGGGTAATGGCGAGGAAGGATGTACCGGAGGATATTCGCTCTGTTCCTCCATGGGTCTTATGGGTCCTATGGAAAAATAGGAATGCAATGGTATTCGAGGGTAAGCGGTTTGAGCCACATGAAGTCGTTGGAAAGGCTTTTGATGATGCAAGACAGTGGTCTATGGCGCAAAACCGTGTTGAGAATATAATACCGGCAACGGAACCGGTGGTGATGCGATGGTCACCGCCTGAAACAGGACATTTTAAATGCAATATTGAATTCTCATGGTCACAGTCCAAGGCTATATCTGGTGCTTCGTGGGTCCTACGTGACAGCTTAGGGACGGTCCTTTGCCATAGTCGACGTTCCTATACTAATGTCTCCACTTGCTTTGATGCTAAAATCCGGAGCTGGGAATGGGCTCTCCAATGTATGAAAGATTTGCATAGAGAAAACGTTACCTTTTCGTCATCATCGATGGAGATCATCAAAGCTCTTAACCAACCATCTCAATGGCCGGCGTTTATGGGGCATATTGCAGGTCTGATTATGTTGACAAGAGACCAAATAGGTTGGGATATTAGTTTTGAAGACCGGAGATGCAACATGGGAGCCTTCGAAATAGCGAGATGTGTCACATCGGATGATCGGTTATCATCGTATGTCGAGACTGGAGTGCCGTCTTGGATGCGGAACTTCTTTCATATGGAGAAAGCTAATTTGAATGGAGTTGGGTGATAATTAGAATGCCAGTCAGGCCGATGGCTTCCCTTCGTCTCTATCAGAGTTTCTTCCCTCTCTGGTTTTTGATCTTATAGAATGAGAGCTTGTTTATGCTCTGTGTTCTGATTTTCTGTTGTTTTTGCTTTGAGCTCCTCCCGTTTGAATTCTGTTTTTGCTACTTTTCCCTCCTTGTGAGGTCTACTTAATACAACGTACGATTCAGTGAAAAAAAAAAAGAACTTGTTGTCTCCGTCAAACATCTGAACTGGTTAATGTACAAAAGTACAATTCATGTTCACACAATTGTTTGAAGTGCAATTGTTTTTAAAGTTGAAACCATACTTGGACCGCACGGTAAGCTGGTACAAGGTTGTCTACCGTACTGCAATAACTTTATCACTTTCACTGTTCACACTTTAATTTTTGTTCTTTTGATTAAAAATAACACACCTAGAGTTCGTACATAACAACCGTGGCACAAATAAAAATTATAATTTGAATTAGTTGACCAACTCATACTAAACAATAAACATAGTCCAATTTTTAGTTCGTCAACGTCTGTATACTTCGTCCTCCTTTATTTGTTTTACGCGTTGTTTTGATTGTTTGGTTTAGAATTTTTTTGATCCGTTAATCATTTCTTAGAAAGAATGTTATGGATGAATTTAAAAATTTCCAATAAGTACAAGACAAAAACTAGTTAAAGGTCGAAACAAATTCATCTTGCAGTTAATTTCAACAGTTTGAAAGTCCTTTTTACAGTTAGGTGGAGACTAGAGACTAATCTTGCCAACTTTGCAAATGGTTGGCTCACCTTCAAGACTAATCAAACGTTTCAGCAGGATCCGGACATCCGATACTAAATCCCAATAAAAATGTAAAAACAAAATTGCATGTACTACATGATTTTTATCAAAAAAAAATGTACCCCAACGTCTCTTAAAAAGGAGTACAAAAATTTACCAAAAAAGGGTGCAAAATACACTTTTGTAACATTTCAGCACACGTGAAAAGTCGATTGAATTTTGTTTGAAAGAGGGTTCTTTGTATTTCTCTACTATTTCTTTGTATTTCTCTACTATACCGAGTACCAACTGTATACCTTTATAGGACGACAATCCAACCATCCTAGTATTTCCGAAGACGGCACAATAGACCAAAACTGATCTACTCTATCTAACTTCACACTGATACTAGTTTTAAATCTGACTCGTCCATCAAAACGGCCCACCAACAGTCTGTTTATTTAGTTCAGATTTGTTTATACTTTATACTACTAAAAGAGTTCGGATTATCGCTTAATTTTGTTTTTGTTTCTTAGCTTCACTTTTTTATATTTTCAGTTTGGTGGATGTAATCTAGCTTCACTTCTTTATATTTTCTTAGCTTCACTTTTTTATATTTAAATGAAAACGGCGATGGTGGCTGTGACGTACGTAACTTCTACTAAAAAAAAAAAAAAAAAAAAAAAAAAAAATCATTGCATGTGTAGAAAAATAAAACGACTTTTCTTGAAAACACACGGAACTTTTTAAGACTAATAAAAGAAGCGGTCCAAAAAATCCTAAGAAAATGGCCAACCAATAAGAATTTAAATATTCCTTAAAAACAGAAAAACAAATCAAATGAAAACAAAGTCAAAGTCAATCCACGCTAGTCAATATTACGAATAGAAGTTACGTACGTCACAGCCACCATCGCCGTTTTCATTTAAATACCCCATCAACTCTCTGTTCTTGTCTCATCAAAATTTGAGAGCCATCGACAATACCAAATTATTGTCCTGAACGGACATGCAGACACTTACGCCTAACACCAACTTATTCGCAAAACGCCGTCGTTTAACTTGCAGTACACAAACCTCAACTTTGATCTCGACGAAGCCACTTTCGGTTTTTCCCACCAAAAAAACCAACCGAGAACATCTCAGAAACCTGGAAAAAGTTCTTAAAATTTCCCCGAGCTCTACTACGGAGAAATTCGATACCAATGTTTCTTCTCGTCAAGATAAAACATCGACGTCTACGTTACTCGGAGGTTTAAATTTGGCGAGAATCTGGCCTCGGATGAAAGCCGCCGTTGACGAAATGTCGCCTAAGAATTTAAAGCGGCTTCAAAGGCTTCTCTCGAAGTCATCGCAGGAGCGTTCACCGAAAAATAAACTCGGGTCTAAATGGCGGGAGCTACACGGGTTAAATAACTGGGCCGGGTTGCTGGATCCGCTAGACGAGGATCTCCGGCGAGAGCTTGTCCGGTACGGAGAGTTTGTACAGGCAGCTTATCACGCGTTTCACTCGGACCCGGGAGGTTCGCCGAGAAACGTGGTGTTACCTGATGGGTCTTATAAAGTGACGAAGAGTCTTTACGCCACCTCATCCGTTCGTTTGCCTAAATGGATCGATGACGTAGCACCGGATCTGCGGTGGATGACTAAGGAGACTAGTTGGGTTGGGTACGTGGCGGTCTGCGATGATCCTATGGAGATCCAACGGATGGGGAGGAGGGAGATCATCATTGCGCTACGAGGTACTGCCACGTTGCTCGAATGGTCAGAGAATTTCAGGCCGAATCTCGTTTCGATGCCGGAGCCCAAACCTGATCCATCCGACCCGACCCGACCGAAAGTGGAATGCGGATTCAACAGTCTATACACGACACATAGCCAACATGCATCGAGCCTCGCGGAATCGTTGGTCGGAGAGATCAGCCGGCTTGTGGACCTCTATGCCGGCGAAGAACTAAGCATCAGCGTCACCGGCCACAGCCTTGGCGCCGCCATAGCGCTGCTTGCTGCTAATGATATCGCCGAGCGTGTTCCCCATGCACCTCCGGTATCTGTGTTTTCTTTTGGTGGGCCTCGTGTCGGGAACCGAGAGTTCGCCGAACGACTGGATTCGAAAGGAGTGAAAGTTCTCCGAGTAGTGAATAGTCAGGACGTGGTGACAAGAGTTCCCGGAATATTCTCAGATAATAATAATAATAATCAGGGACATGATCGTAAAGTGGAGAGAAAAAGAGGAGGTATAATGGAAATGGTGGAGAGGAACAATCCATGGGCATACTCGCACGTGGGAGCAGAGCTGCGTGTGGACATGAAGATGTCTCCGTACTTGAAACCAAACGCTGATGTGGCGTGCTGTCATGACTTGGAGGCGTACTTGCATTTAGTCGACGGTTTTTTGGCGTCTAACTGTCCGTTCAGGACAAACGCAAAACGGAGTTTGAGGAAACTGTTGGATGAACAACGGTTCAACGTCAAGGTTTTGTATACAGGAAAGTCTTTCAGACTCAACCGTACTACCATTCCCGGTCACGGAGATGTTTTGCCCAGTCCATCTTCATGAGCTCTAATTTATTCTTCTTGCTAAAATTTATTTATTTATTTTACTCTTAAGAAATTTATTTAATTTTGATAAGTTTATATGTTAATTGCCATTGGCCTGTTGAATCAAAATACTTTTGGCGTTTTCTAAAAATAAATGTGTTTTAAAAATAAATGGTGGTTATATACCTATATGGAAACCAAATAAGTAAAACAAATAATGTAAGTATACTTTAGATGGTTTTTCTATTGTTTCAGACATGTGTGTAAACACTAAGCATATAATCTCATAATGCTTAAAGATATTGTGGAATATATTATATGGAGAATGGAGTATACTTTAGATGGTTTTTCTATTGTTTCAGACATGTGTGTAAACACTAAGCATATAATCTCATAATGCTTAAAGATATTGTGGAATATATTATATGGAGAATGGAGTATTTCAATTTTCATTCATGTATGATATTAATTAAAGTCTTAAGGTTTGACTGGTTTAAATATTGAAGTTGCGGTTAAACGCATAATTAAGACCCATCTTCATCCATCAACTTTTAGTGGCGTCATTAATTTAAAATAACACTAAAATTTTAAGATACTTTCATTTTGCGAATGTTAAATGTCTTTCATATTTTAAGACACTTTGCTTTTTTTGTTTTTCCTTTTTTTTTTCTAAAAATGTTTAGACACACAAAGGCTGTTGAATGGATCGGAGATGCTGTAACTTAGGTTTGGGCATAAAAACCGACCCGAGGATCATCGACCCGGAAAAACCCGGTTCTGGTTAGTATTGGTTTAGGCCTAAATCATTTGTTGGTTATTGTCTTTCCATATCTCTCGGGTCGGTTCCGGTTATTACCTGTTTCCGGTTATTTGTATTCTCTTGAGTTTTGACTTGTTCAATAAATATTATTCTCCTAAACTCTAAACTCTAATATCCTTATTTGGATTTGTGATATCTCCGTTCAAACAATTGGGGCCGTATATGGAGAATAGAAAATAAATCTCCAAAAAAATCGTTTAAAGCTCAAGGATGCCACCACCACCAGCTAGCAAGGACATCACCATCGAGAAAGACTCAACATAACTCACTGGTGTTCATACCGACGGCCAGGAGACTCTACCCCTGGATACCGCAACCCTGATCACCGTTGCCGACCTGCAAGCTGCCATTGCGGGCGCCCTAAAGCAGTTCACCGTCGGAATGAAGGAACAGTTGGCCGAGGTGTGCTTTGAACAGCAAAAGATCAACGACCAACTCACCTGCCCTCCAAGGACACATCAACTCTTCCTGGAGACTCTGGAACCTCAAACCATCAGGCAGGAATCTAACCTCAACGGCCCTGTGGCAGACGAAGCAATCCAGCGAATCTGGAAGCAGCCTCTAGTGCCGAATCTGGAAGCAGCCTCCAGTGCCGAATTGACGGAACTTCGGCAAGCCTTTAAGAGACTCGAGTCTCAAGCAATATATCTATATTTTAAATGTTTTTATTAAGGTTTTTTAATATATTTTCTAGCATAACAAAAAGCTTTTGTGCCGCCCAAAAGCTAGTTTTTTTGTATATTTTGGTTTTGAAATCTAAATAGGTCAAAACATAAAAAGATGCAAAATTGAGCAAAAGAGCTACCAAGTCAAGAGCATCAATCAAAACTTCAAGAGCCCGATTTCCGCAATCGGATAGAACCGAAGCATCAGAATATGGCCGCAGATGAAGACCTTCCCGACGGCCAAAATCATGATCTCGATCCTGGTGGATAGATAATTGAGTCACACATCACGAAGAAGTGGAATGGAGCCATTTGGAGTCCTCATCATGAAGACACAAAAACGAAGACATATCCGTATGAAGAACAAGAGAAGCCCGCGGAAGAATTTGGTGTACAAATGGATCAGATCCACCTTGGGCCGAGCCTAGGCCTCTCTACACTGAAGCCTGTATTCTCAAAAACATGTATCTTATTGAAGTATTTGAACTGCAATTAGCAATTCATACTCTTATTTAATATTCTGTTTGGGAACTCTTTTAAATAAAACTGAACTGAACCAAACCAAACCAAGTCATATTTGGATATACCATATAAACCGTATAGATGCAATGTTATGCAAATTGTGGATACTGATATGGTATTAATATAACAATATATAATATACACAAATGTTAGAATATGATCCGTAATAATATATATTTTAAATGATATTATATGGAATAGTAGATGATTATATAACCAAACTCTAACAGAAAAACCCTTACATAAAATAATATCTTCTTCTCTTTATATAAACTAGGGCTAAGCCCGTTGTGACTATTACAAAGTTTTGTTACTTGAATTTTAATTGTCATTTGAATTTTCTAAATATTTTGTCTCTTATATTTTTTTCAGATATGTTAAGGGGCAGTTGAGATATAAATGTAAATTACTCATTTTTTCCTCTACAATTAGATTTCTTAAAATGTTTTCCATGTGCCAAAAATTAATTATAGCTAGTTGTAGCACATTGAAAATCTTATACCCTTATTCTAAACCCTAAACTAAAAAAGCAAATCCAAAGTTCCAAACTTAAACCATAAACCATAAATCATAAACCATAAAATTTTATTCCAAAATAAAAATATTAAATCAGAATTAGCAAAAAGTATTTAAAAGCCATTCCGAACCCTTATATCTAAAATCCTTAAATCTAACCCTTACATGAAAAAGAAATCTAACAGTTATAAAAAACCATGTTTGTATAATTACATATATTTCTAGAATGAATATATTTTATTAACACTTATAACAAATTTGAAAATAAAATCATATGATAAATCTTAAACTCTAAACCCTAAACATAATTAATGATTATATATATCTAAAATTCATAATCTACACAAATATATAATTTCAAAAGTATCCAAATATAATTTTCGAAATCACAAACCCCAAATTCCTAATCTAAAATCTCAAATCCTTAAAACTAAAATCTCAAACCTTAAATTATGAATTCATGATACCCTTCAACTTTACACTCAAACATAAAACCTAAATCGAAATTTATAAAACCAAAATATTAAAAATTACTAATAAAACTAATCATGAGTGAAATGTGTCATCAAATCAAATGACATTGCAAATAATATTTAAAAACATTAATATGAGACTGACTTTTCAATTTTTGTATTCAATATACCTCTTCACATTCACATGTTTAAATAACACTTTCCAATTAAAAAAAATTGAAAGTTAGTGTTCTAAGATTAAAAATATATAGTATATTCTAAAAGATCTTTCTAGAATGGATATATTTTGTTAACACTTATAACAAATTTGCAATAAAATCATATGATAAATCTTAAACTCTAAACCCTAAACATAATTAATAATATATATATATATATATATATATATATATATATATCTAAAATTCATAATCTACACTAATAAATAATTTCAGAAGTATCCAAATCTAATTTTCAAAATCACAAACCCCAAATTCCTAATCCAAAATTTCAAATCCTAAAACTAAAATCTCAAACTTTAAGAATTCATGATACCCTTCAACTTTACACTCAAAGATAAAACCTAAATCCAAAATTATGAAACCAAAATATTTAAACTTACTAATAAAATTAATTATGACTAAAATGTGACATCAAATGACATTGCAAATAATATTTAAAAAAATTAATATGAGACTGACTTTTCAATTTTTGTATTTAACATACCTCTTCACATTCACATGTTTAAATAACACTTGCCAATTAAAAAATTGAAAGTTACTGTTCTAAGATTCAAAATAAATAGTATATTCTAAAAGATCTTAGAAATAATCATCTAAATCCACCAAAATTTATTGAGAGGAAATTTACTTTATCTAGAAGAAAAAGGAAATTTACTAAAACATTATGCAGCAAAAAAAACTTAAAAAGTAACCAAATCAATAAAACAAAATGATATATATTAACATTTTTCCTAATATACAATTTACTCTTGGGCTCAGCCCATTGTCTACCCAATAATTTTAAGGATCGTGTGCTCTAGAGAAGCCAGAGAGGTTTCGGAGCTCCGTCTGGCAGTGTGTCGGCTTCGTCTTCTTTCTGAATCTTCGAGCTTCTCCTCCGTCATCAGTTTTGGTGAATCGCCCCAGTCTCTCTCTTCCTCGTCCTTGTGTTTCAATGGCTGATCTCGATCAGAGTAAGTCGAGAGACCTCGACAAGGTTCTCCTTCCAGCTGTGAATCTCGTCCGTCCCGATGTTCTTCGACAAACTTCTTGATTTTCGCAATTAAAATCTGATAGAGACGACGGCGAGACCGGTCATGACGAATGATTATTTTGGCAAAATCGGAAGGATTATGTTGCAAATCTCTGTTCAAGTTAGCAACATTGGCGTTTTGATCGTTTACATGATCATCACTGGTACTTACTTATCTCATCTCCTCTCTATCTTTGATTCTTGATTACAGAAATGTAACTTTTTGTAAATCAAGATTAGATTTTGATGTATGCTTTTGGTCTACGAGTTTCCTTACACGGAAACCAAAATGTTTACGCTTTCTTCTACTGAAAATTGCCGGCGTACTTTTGTGTATGTATTCTATCGAGAAGTCGTGTTTATATTTTCCCCATCAATTATTGGACAGAAACTTAGATCTCTGGACGAGAAAATTACAACCAGGTGTACTTTTTGAGTTTACAATTACATTAGAGTTTGACTTGCTGCTAAGGAAATATGAGGTGTTAGTTTTCGCCAAGGAAGATGAAGCGTTCAATATAGTTGTGAAAGATTTTTTTTTACTAAGATTATAAATGCTGCCACGTGTTTTTTTTTGAAAAAAAAATATTTGACACATGTCACTCAACTAGAGAGTGATATCCTCTCATTATATATAAGATACTATTTTGATCATCAATTCTAATGAAATTATTCTTCTTTTGTCATTTTCCAAAATTTTCTTCTTATTTCTCTTTCTCAACCAAAGTCATTAACATAATGTGAATGTTTGTTTTACTAATTAAGTGATGAAATTCTCAAATGGAATTTGTTTAAAAGAAACGAGAAGAATTAAAAAATTTAAAACAATCTTTCACCGAAAATCGAATATAATGAAACCAAATATATCCAAACTGAATTAACTGAAAATCGAGACTATTTGACTGAAATAAACCGAAATAAGTATGGTTCTAATTAGGAAGCTATTTTTTTATTAACCGAATATCTGAAAACCGAAGAAACCGAATTGATATCCGGATTAAAACCCCTATGCATAGTGAACTATATAATATAATCTTATATAATGAGAAAGTCTTCTCTTCATCTACATAGTCATCAGCAATTTTAACATGAAATCAAATTAAAATAATTATTTAATTCAAATTTATATTAATTTTTACTTTTATTTAACATATAGTATGAATTTTTATCATTCAATAAAATTATTTAACATTTAATATAATTAATGTTAAATAAAATTAACTTTAAGAAAAAGCAATTTTAACATTAAATAAAATTAAAGTAGCCAAAAATAAGTGAAGAAAAGAATGTTAGGCGATTGAAAATTTGAAAGAAATAAACAAAAATATCTAAGTTTTTATGAACTTTCTTTTCAAATTTGTTCTTGAAGAATATAAAGTTTAGGTATATATTTTGTTCTTCTGCTTATATATACAATAGCTCGAAATCAAACTGTTACATGTAACTTTTAAATCTAATACTCGATAAATTAATAAACACGATAAATTAATAAAATTTCTCTATCCCACATTGGGCCGATGTAAAATATGACAAAATTCGATAAGATAATAAGATAATAAATTTTTCCCTACTTCTATGTAAAATATGGTCACAATAATATCATAAATTATTAACTAAGTACTTATATATGAATTTAATTTTTGCTTTTTTTCTTAAAGTTGAATTATTTCTGAAGTTCATATCTCATTTTTCTTACTGTATGAAGAGTTTTAGACGTGATAATTGTCTTTCCAGGCATAACTATATCTAAATAAATTATAACGGTATGACAAAAATGGAAAAATGAAAGTAAATATATAAATATCAAAGAAAAAAGTTAGGAAAATATTTTTTTGTTTAAAGAGAGATTTCCTATTTAATATAAAAGAAAATTGAGAAGATTATTATCACAATGTTTTTTGTTTTTGATATTATTTAGTCAAACTCGTTAAATTAATAACTCTAACAATTAATAAAATATTAAAATCCTTACATTATTAATTTACAGAGTTTCTACTGTATTTGACTTGTCTATGAATAAAATATTGGATTAAACGGTAAAAATTAAGCATAATTTTGAAATTTTATAATTTTAATCCTGTCAATGTGCTGGTTCATTTTCTAGTTATTTAAAAAGGATAATATGCGTTGTGACAACATGTTACAAAAGATTTACTTTTCCAAGATAGTTATTATACAAAATCAAACGATAGTTCAGTTATAAAACCACATTCCAAAAATATAACCTCTGACAGTTTTCAAAAACCCAATCTCCTCCTTCTTCTTGCTTATATAAACCACATTCTTTCATCTTCCTTCAAACACAAACACAATAATAACAAAAACAAAATATCAAGATCTCTGAATCGATATGAGTAACCTCAAAGCCGAAACAGCGGCTAAAGATGTCGCGGTTCTAGAGACAAAGTCGTCGATTGTCCCTGCAGATTTTGGTGAGCCATCGCCACTGAAAAAAATCATATCGATGGCTTCAATCGCCGCCGGTGTACAGTTTGGGTGGGCCTTACAGCTCTCTTTGCTGACTCCATACGTTCAGCTACTTGGAATCCCACATAAATGGTCATCTCTCATTGGCTCTGTGGCCCCATATCTGGCATGCTTGTCCAGCCAACCGTCGGTTACTACAGCGACAGATGCACCTCCAGATTCGGCCGTCGCCGTCCTTTCATTGCAGTCGGTGCCATCCTTGTCGCTGTCGCTGGTATTCTGATCGGATACGCCGCTGATCTTGGCCGCTTAGCTGGAGACAATCTCGAAAAGACTCCAAAGGTACGAGCCATATGGTTCTTCGCTCTAGGTTTCTGGATCCTCGACGTGGCCAACAACACCCTCCAAGGACCTTGCCGCGCTTTCCTTGCCGATCTCTCCGCAGGTGACGCTAAGAAAACTCGGACCGCAAACGCGATTTTCTCTTTCTTTATGGCAGTTGGAAACATTTTGGGATACGCTGCTGGATCCTACACTAACCTCCACAAGATGTTTCCTTTCACGATGACTGAAGCATGTGACATCTATTGTGCGAACCTCAAGAGCTGTTTCTTCCTCTCCATCATTCTTCTCCTCGCTGTCACGGTCACATCACTCTTTTACGTCAAAGACAAGCAATGGTCTCCCGAGAAAGGAGCCTCCGACGTGGAAACTCCGTTCTTTGGCGAGATCTTTGGAGCTTTCAGGGTGATGGAACGTCCCATGTGGATGTTGATTATCGTCACCGCCTTAAACTGGATCGCGTGGTTCCCTTTTCTTCTATTCGATACTGACTGGATGGGTCGTGAAGTGTACGGTGGAGACTCTAGTGGAGACGACAAAATGAAGGACCTATACAACAAAGGAGTCCACGTTGGTTCATTGGGTTTGATGATTAATGCAATCGTTCTTGGAGTTGTGTCCCTTTTTATTGAATGGCAGTCAGAAAATGGGAGGAGCTAAACGGCTTTGGGGAGTTGTCAACTTTATCCTTGCCGTGTGTTTGGGTTTGACGGTTTTGATTACAAAGTTGGCGGAGGCTCACAGGAAAACCGCTGGTGCGTTTGCCGGTCCCACCGATGCGATTAGAGGTGGAGCATTGACAATCTTTGCTTTTCTTGGAATCCCTCTTGCTGTAAGTCCAGCTTGGCCTTTCATTTTTTTTTTTCCAGTTATGATACTATTAATATCCATTCGTTAATTATTTTGTTTAAACTAACCATAATTTTTGGATATTATGATAGATTACTTTCAGTATTCCGTTTGCACTAGCTTCCATTATCTCAAGCAACTCCGGCGCCGGCCAAGGTATTTTAACTTTTTTTTTCCATTTTCTTATTTAATGCCTTATGTATGTTATGATAATAAATACTCCCTCTGTCCCATATTATAAGCATTTGAGCAAAATAAATCTGAAAAAAGTGGATGTATCTGGATGGAATTCAGTCCAGATACATCCATTTTTTTTCAGATTCATTTTGCCCAACTGCTTATAATATGGGACAGAGGGAGTATTACTTGAAACGTATGATGTTAGTAGTTATTTTGAGAGACCTTAATTTTCCTTTATTGACAAGAAAAAAACAACTAAAGAGTTTATGGATTTTTTTTCCACTATTTGGCTCATATCGACAAAATTATCCAAAACATTATATATTTTATTAATTGTATTAAAGATTTGATATTCATTGATTTTGGTCTAGTATATTGAATTTACCAAACCTGTATAGATAAGATCATAAGAAACAGATTCTTTTTAAGCTATTAAAGGATGTTGTTCAATTTTACAGGACTTTCTCTTGGAGTACTAAATTTGGCAATCGTGATACCACAAATGGTGGTGTCACTTGGAGGTGGGCCTTTCGATGCGTTGTTTGGAGGTGGAAACTTACCTGGATTTGTGGTCGGAGCAATTGCAGCGGCAGTTAGTGGTGTGGTGGCGTTAACAGTTCTTCCTTAGTTTTCTACTTGTTTGTTTCTTTTAATGGTCAACACTAGTATCATTGAATTAGGATGATTACAAATGAAAAATGTATAATGATAGTGTTTAACATTGCAAATATTGGAATATATTTATATTAATTACTTGTTTTTAAACATAAAATAAATTATAGTAAATTCATAATTATGTTTAAATTAATCATTTAACTAGGTTGGTCTAATTGGAAACTTGAATGTCTCTTATCATATAAGAGTAATGAAGTCAAATAAGAAAAATAAATATGACTATTGACATCTGTCGTTTGACTCACTTCTAAGATAGATATATTATCATCATTATTATATACTCCCTCTGTTTCTAAAAACTTGATGTTTTAGATATTTCACACATATTAAGAAATAATTAATGTTAGTTAAAAGTGTATCATTTTCTCTCTCATTAGTTACTTTTTATAAATATGAACCAATAGAATTAAAAATTATTCTTGGAATTCATAACTAAATAACATTTGTTGGTAAAATATATTTTAAAAAGCTAAAACATCAAGTTTTGTGGAACAAATAAATTTTCTAAAACATCAAGTTTTCTGAAACAGAGGGAGTACTAGATAATGCCCCGCTTATTTTAAGATTTTTGAAACAATTTATGAAAAAAAAAATATGAGTTCTCGTAAAAGTAAGTAAAATAATATTGAAAATCCGGTAAAAAATATCTAAAAAACATACGCTACTTCAGTTTCACCATACACATAATATTCATGTAATGATTCTGTAAAAAGCAAATTATAATCACACATATATATATATATATATATATATATTAAGTATTTATGAAATACGTACTCATCTCTTTTCATTATGTGATGCAGGTAAAAGATAAATGTGATCGCGGAATCAAGACAGAATGAGGGAATAATAGGATTTATTGTTTTAATTGTTTAAGTTGTTAGAACCTGGTGTTAAGGTTGCTAGTATTTTACATTTTTAAATTATTTGTTGAATGATTTGATTACGGTTTAAGAACTGTTAGATTGGTAGAACTGAGACTGTATGGTTAATTGATTATATGAGGTAGTCAGTTATTTGGTTTAAANGCTTACTTTATGATTATAATTAGTATCATACAATATTTGTTAAGAGCAACCGTGATCGCTGTTGGCTTTATACGTTAATATATTTTCGGTTGCAGATAATATAAAGAAAAAGAGCATCTAATTATCTTCAGAGAATATTGAATACGCATGTACATATATTTATGCAAAATAATACTTATGTAGTATTTCACATCTTCGCATAGCACTTGATCTTTTTAGCGCATAGGCTCCCAGTGGAGCCAGACAGTCTTGGCCTTTTTCTTTCTCTTCTTTTCAAATATTTGTTCTGATTATTAATTTTTGTGTGTGAATTGTGATTGTAGTAATTTAACAATTTCTTGAGTAGAAATCTTTGGTGCGCATCCTCTCCGAGGGCACCTCCTTTTGCCCACAACTTGCTTATATTTTATAAAGTGTATATCACGAATACAATAAATGTATATATATATATATATAAATATCTATGTATATTTATATGTATAGATATATAATTCACTATATAAATATAGTATCATTGGTCTAGTTGTATTTTAATATTTGATGTTTTAGATTTTGTTGTTCTTTATTATTTGATGTTTTAGACTATTAAATATACTTTTTGATAATAAATGTTACAAAAATGCAAACTTCAAGAGAATTCTATAATTTTGATTGGTTAATAGTTATTTAAAATGAAAAAGTAATACATCAAAAGTTAAGCATTAAGTGTTTTTTAATCTATGTAAAAACTCTAAAACATCAAATAATAAGGAACAGATGGAGTATGTATAAAGTGTAATTTATTAAATAAAGGAAGAATAGCAGTAATAAATAATAATAGCAATTAATTATTATATCAAATTCTGAAAAAAATGAATATTATATTAAAATGATTTTCGATATGTGTCGTAGACTAGTAGTGGTGGAAAAAAAATGTCATTTTATGAGTTTGAATATTAGTTCGGAAGTCGACACGTGTCACGCACTCTGATACTCTAGTGGTGGGTGCTTGTTCTCATGTCAGGTTCTGATTACGTTTTAATTAACTAATAATTAATTCAACTTTTAGTATTTTAAAATAATGGGTAGATCATAGATGTGACCCAGCCACTAATTAATTTTGATTCTTTTAAATTTTGGTTTTGTTTATCTATGAGACTGAACATAAATAGTAAACGAAAATAGTACTTACTTTGTAACATCCATAAACCAAAAATAAAAATTGGGAATTTTGTCGGTTCAATTTAAGTGAATTGGTTTGGGTCGGTTTAGTGGAGAAAGCCCTAAAATCAAGTTTAAAGAGTGCAGCCGTCTTCTCTTTGGAGAATTTTCGAGTTCAGATGCTGTAGAGGAGAAAAGTTGAGTTTTTGGAGAGATTTTCGAATTTTACTTTTACTGTTCATCGGTACTGTTCACGGGTTACTGTTCATCCGCGATTCGGCACTGTTCATCGTCCTTCCTTTTTCCTTCAGTTTCAGTCAATTGTCAAGGTGAGTGCATGACTGTGGGTCCGTGATTTGCTAGATTAGATTTGGTTTGTGGTTGTTCTTGATGAGTTTATGTTTTTAATTGTTATTTTTATGATATTTTGGTTGTTCATGTGATGAATTGTGTGTTTGTGTGGTTTAATCTGGTTTATTGGTTTAATTGAATTTAATTGATTTGATTCTGGTTTATCTTGGTTCAATTGAATTTAATTGGTTTAATTGAATTTAATTGGTTTAATGGAATTAAATAGATTTAATTTAATTAATTAAATAATATTTATTTAATTAATTGGTATTATTTTAATTATTTTAAAATATGAAAATTATTATTTAATTATGAGAATTATTTAATAATTGAGAAATTGAGTTTTAATTATTAAAAGTTATTTAATAATTGGAAAATGGTATTTAATAATTATTGAAGTTTATAAATATTATTAAATATCTAGTAAATTGCGTAAATGGCTCGTAGGCAGAGTGATTGCCTCACTAAGTATTTATTAAATACTTACGCAACTCCATTCCAATGTGTTGCAGGTAAAAGATTTGTGTGATCGCGGAATCAAGGCTGAAGAGGGGGATGATAGGATGTTTACTGTTTTATTGTTTTGCATTATTTTGCTAGACTTGTTTAATTATTATTTGCTTCCGCTGAGCTGATTTATTTGTTATTGATATTTTATTTATTTAATTTATTTTTAAGACCTTCGCTAGAACTGATTAATATTTATTAAAAAAAAAAAAATGTTGGTTGTTTCATTTTGGTATCAGAGCCTAGACGGTTTTAGGACTGTTAGAATTGCTAGGCTTAGTATCATCCCCTTCAGCTACAAGAGATTCCGCGGTGAGTTTATGTTTGTTTTGAGTTTTGGTTGCGTGTTCTAGTGTGCTCTTTTCGGTTCCATGAGTGAGATGGACTGAGTAGCTAGAGGTTGTGGCGCGAGAGGGCGCGGTGCTTGAGGCCGTGGAGGTCGGGGCCGAGATTGTGGACTTCGGCGGATTCGGGAGAGAGTGTGGTGCCGAGTGTGGCGATTGCGTCGGTGACCCAGTCGGTATCCGTGGCGAGTGAGGCCAGTGTGGATGCGAGGTTGGTTTGGGAGCGGAGGCTGCTCCGGGTTGGGGTGGTGCTCTGGCTCAGGGTCTTGATGACTTAGTGGTGGGTTTGCTGACGCAGTTATTGGCTCGTTTTCCGCCAGTGGTTCCACAAGGGGCTCCGGGAGTACCTCCAGTGGCAGAGGTGCAGCAGAGGGCTGCGGATTTGTTCAGCCGTAGGCTGTGGGTTTGATGGTGCCGTCCTACTTGGATATGTTGGGGCACATGCAGAGGATTGGTATGCCGTACTTTGAGGGCGGAGTTAGCCCAGAGGCGGCAGATGAGTGGCGTCAGAGATTGGAGCGGAATTTCCAGTCTATCAGATTTCTGGTTTAGTACCAGGTTGAGTTGGCAGTCCACTATCTGAGTGGAGATGCACATTTGTGGTGGCGGGCCATCGAGGGCATAATGGTTGTTTTTGCTGTGTTGTTCATTTATCTGTGATAAATTGTTGAGGTTCTCAGCGCATGTGTTTCGTAATGACCTTGTTAGTGGGCGGTTTTGAGTCCCACGTTTTATTCGACTCTGGAGCATCGAATTGCTTCATTACACCGGAGCGTGCCGAGAAGAGTGGCATCCGGAGTAGCGCGGGCGAGAGCGCGGGCATGGTCAAGGTGGCGGGAGGTGGATTCTTGTCTACTTTGGGCCGTGCTAGAGGAGTCGAGATCGAGATTGCGGGGCAGTCAATGCCAGCAGACTTAGTCATCAGTCCGGTGGAGCTGTATGACGTTATTCTCGGGATGGACTGGTTGTCACACTACAGAGTTCATCTGGATTGCTACAGAGGTAGAGTGGTCTTCGAGCGAGATGCAGGGAGGTTGGTTTATCAGGGAGTGAGACCGACTTCCGGGAGTATTGTGATATCTGCTATTCAGGCCGAGCAGTTGTTAGTGCGGGGCTGTGAGGCGTATCTGGCGACGATTTCTATGTCTGAGTCAGGAGCTGGAGTTGTTATGGGAGATATTGAGGTTGTCCAGGATTTTGAGGATGTCTTTCAGTCACTGAAGGGATTACCACCATCTCGGTCTGATCCTTTCACGATTGAGTTAGAGCCGGGGACAGCACCAATATCGAAGACGCCTTACAGGATGGCGCCAGCTGAGTTGGCAGAGCTGAAAAGCAGATAGAGGACCTTTTGTCTAAGGGGTTCATTCGACCAAGTGTTTCACCGTGGGGAGCACCGGTGTTGTTTGTGAAGAAGAAGGATGGCAGTTTCAGACTTTGTATTGATTACAGAGGTCTTAACCGAGTCACTGTGAAGAACAGGTACCCACTCCCGAGGATTGATGAGTTACTGGATCAGTTGAGGGGTGCTACTTGGTTCTCCAAGATTGACTTGGCATCGGGGTATCATCAGATCCCGATAGATGAGGCAGATGTCAGGAAGACTGCTTTCAGGACGCGTTATGGGCATTTTGAGTTTGTGGTTATGCCTTTCGGTTTGACTAACGCGCCGGCAGCCTTCATGAGATTGATGAACGACGTGTTCAGGGAGTATTTGGATGTGTTCGTCATCATTTTCATTGATGATATTCTGGTATACTCGAGGAGTCAGGAGGAGCATGCGACTCACTTGAGGTTGGTTCTGGAGAAAGCTTCGGGAGCAGAAGCTTTTCGCTAAGTTGAGCAAGTGCAGTTTCTGGCAGCGAGAGATGGGATTTCTTGGCCACATTGTTTCTGCAGAGGGAGTTTCTGTGGATCCGGCTAAGATTGAGGCTATCAGAGATTGGCCTAGACCTAGTAGTGCCACCGAGATCAGGAGTTTTCTGGGTTTGGCAGGATACTACAGGAGGTTCGTCAAGGGGTTTGCTACCATGGCGCAGCCGATGACGAAGTTGACCGGGAAGGATGTCCCTTTTGTTTGGTCAGCTGAGTGTGAGGAGAGCTTTAGTCAGCTCAAGGAGATGTTGACTACTACACCAGTGTTGGCGTTACCCGAGCCAGGGAAGCCTTACATGGTGTATACAGATGCTTCAGGCATTGGTCTTGGTTGTGTGCTGATGCAGGAGGGCAGAGTGATAGCATATGCTTCGAGACAGTGGCAGGGCAGTGAGCGTAACCGTCCTACACATGACTTAGAGTTGGGAGCAGTGATCTTCGCGTTGAAGATTTGGAGGTCTTACTTGCTAGGTGAGACAGTACAGGTCTTCACGGATCACAAGAGTTTGCAGCATATCTTCACTCAGCCGATGATGAACGCGAGACAGACGCGCTGGATTGAGTTCTTGGCGGATTATCAGGTGAGCATTAACTACCATCCGGGCAAGGCTAACCTAGTGGCGGACGCGTTGAGTAGACGGAGGTATGATTCCGCAGTTGAGCGAGATGTGGAGTCTCTGGTTGGCGAGATCAGTACCTTGCGTTTGTGTGCCATTTCGCAGGAGCCTTTGGGTTTAGAGGCAGTGGATCAGGCGGATCTACTTAGCAGGATCAGAGTTGCTCAGCAGAGTGATCAGAGTTTGCTGGATGCGACTAGAGTGACTGGTTCTGAGTATGAGGTCTCTGCGAATGGGACTATCTTGGTTCGTGGGCGAGTTTGTGTGCCTAAGGATGTGGAGTTGAGACATCAGATTTTGGGAGAGGCTCACGAGCAAGTTTTCCATTCATCCAGGGCGACCAAGATGTACCATGACCTCAAGAGGTACTATCATTGGGTCGGGATGAAGAGGGATGTAGCAGACTGGGTTGCGAAGTGCAACACTTGTGCCTTGGTGAAGGCAGAGCATCAGGTTCCGGGTGGTCTTTTGCAGAGTTTACCCATTCCCGAGTGGAAGTGGGATAGGATTACGATGGATTTCGTGGTTGGACTACCTGTTTCAAGGACTTTCGATGCTATCTGGGTGATTGTGGATCGGTTGACTAAGTCTGCACATTTCTTGGCCATCAAGAAGACAGATGGAGCTGCTGTCTTGGCTAGGAAGTTTGTGCGAGAGATTGTGAGGCTGCATGGAGTGCCAGCTAGTATTGTGTCAGACCGTGATCCCAGATTCACTTCAGAGTTTTGGAGGGCGTTTCAGGCAGAGATGGGCACTAAGGTGCATCTGAGTACAGCTTATCATCCGCAGACAGATGGTCAGTCAGAGAGGACTATTCAGACTTTGGAGGATTTGCTGAGGATGTGTGTGTTGGATTGGGGTGGCCATTGGGCAGATCACCTAAGCTTAGTTGAGTTTGCATACAACAACAGCTTTCAGGCGAGTATTGGCATGGCTCCATTCGAGGCTTTGTATGGGAGGCCATGTAGGACACCCCTATGCTGGACCCAAGTGGGGGAGCGCAGCATGTATGGAGCTACTTATGTTCAGGAGACGACAGAGAAGGTTCGTGTTGTGAGGCTGAACATGAAGGAGGCTCAGGATAGGCAGAAGAGTTATGCAGATAGACGCAGACGAGAGCTTGAGTTTCAGGTTGGAGATAGAGTTTATCTCAAGATGGCTATGTTGAGGGGTCCTAACAGATCCATAGCAGAGAACAAGCTGAGTCCGCGATTTATGGGTCCGTTTCCAGTAGTGGAGCGAGTTGGGCCATTAGCTTACAGGCTGGAGTTGCCTGAGATTATGAAAGCCTTTCACAAGGTTTTTCATGTGTCGATGCTGAGGAAGTGTCTTCATCCTACAGAGGAGTTAGTGGCTAGGATTCCAGAGGATCTTCAGCCAGATTTGACCGTGCCGGCAGTGCCTATGAGGATTTTAGAGAGGAGGGAAAAGGTTCTGAGGAACAAGAGGATTCCCTTACTTAGGATTTTGTGGGATTGCAGTGGTTCTACAGAGGAGACTTGGGAGCCAGAGGCAAAGATGAAGTTGAAGTTCAGGAAGTGGTTCGACAAGCAGGTCGAGGAGTGAGCTTATTTCATCTTTGTAGCCTCAGTTGTTATTTTTGGCTTTGGTGTTATTGTATTTTCGTTTTCGTTGTAACGATTTACATTTTGGAGTTTTAATGAGATGCAGTTTTTCCTCATTTTGCCTTGTGTTGTGAAAAGGTATTCGGATGTTACACATGTTTGACCAGTTTTTGGTTGTGAGACGGTCTAATCTTATGGTTATAGACATTTTCCGGAATTTTTACTCTAAGGATTGCGATCCTGAATAACTCATCATGTTTTTGGAGACTTCGTTCTCTGGCAGACTCTCTGGGTGCAAGTAGGCCTCAGTTGAGTGTAGCTTATATGGGTGCAAGTAGGCCTCAGTATAAGCAGTTTAGTTCATCTGGGTGCAAGTGGGCCTCAGTATGGACGTTTTCGGGTTCGTCTGGGTGCAAGTGGGCCTCAGTGCGGACCGGTGTGGACTTGTCTGGGTGCAAGTGGGCCTCAGTACAAGTTGTTTGGTGTGTTTGGATGATGAGTTAGGAGTGAAATTTTCTTGGAACGTGTTTATGACATAAGATATGACGTTTGTCTCGGGGATCAAGTGAGGATCTCCGGTGTTGCGGCCTTGCGAGGTTGGGTTTTGTGGTCTTTGTGACGTTTGCGTTGGGATTCGAGGACGAATCCAGTTTAGTGGGGAAGAGTTGTAACATCCATAAACCAAAAATAAAAATTGGGAATTTTGTCGGTTCAATTTAAGTGAATTGGTTTGGGTCGGTTTAGTGGAGAAAGCCCTAAAATCAAGTTTAAAGAGTGCAGCCGTCTTCTCTTTGGAGAATTTTCGAGTTCAGATGCTGTAGAGGAGAAAAGTTGAGTTTTTGGAGAGATTTTCGAATTTTACTGTTCATCGGTATTGTTCACGGGTTACTGTTCATCGGTACTGTTCACGGGTTACTGTTCATCCGCGATTCGGCACTGTTCATCGTCCTTCCTTTTTCCTTCAGTTTCAGTCAATTGTCAAGGTGAGTGCATGACTGTGGGTCCGTGATTTGCTAGATTAGATTTGGTTTGTGGTTGTTCTTGATGAGTTTATGTTTTTAATTGTTATTTTTATGATATTTTGGTTGTTCATGTGATGAATTGTGTGTTTGTGTGGTTTAATCTGGTTTATTGGTTTAATTGAATTTAATTGATTTGATTCTGGTTTATCTTGGTTCAATTGAATTTAATTGTTTAATTGAATTTAATTGGTTTAATGGAATTAAATAGATTTAATTTAATTAATTAAATAATATTTATTTAATTAATTGGTATTATTTTAATTATTTTAAAATATGGAAAATTATTATTTAATTATGAGAATTATTTAATAATTGAGAAATTGAGTTTTAATTATTAAAATTATTTAATAATTGGAAAATGGTATTTAATAATTATTGAAGTTTATAAATATTATTAAATATCTAGTAAATTGCGTAAATGGCTCGTAGGCAGAGTGATTGCCTCACTAAGTATTTATTAAATACTTACGCAACTCCATTCCAATGTGTTGCAGGTAAAAGATTTGTGTGATCGCGGAATCAAGGCTGAAGAGGGGGATGATAGGATGTTTACTGTTTTATTGTTTTGCATTATTTTGCTAGACTTGTTTAATTATTATTTGCTTCCGCTGAGCTGATTTATTTGTTATTGATATTTTATTTATTTAATTTATTTTTAAGACCTTCGCTAGAATTGATTAATATTTATTAAAAAAAAAAAAATGTTGGTTGTTTCATTTTGGTATCAGAGCCTAGACGGTTTTAGGACAGTTAGAATTGCTAGGCTTAGTATCATCCCCTTCAGCTACAAGAGATTCCGCGGTGAGTTTATGTTTGTTTTGAGTTTTGGTTGCGTGTTCTAGTGTGCTCTTTTCGGTTCCATGAGTGAGATGGAGTGAGTAGCTAGAGGTGGTGGCGCGAGAGGGCACGGAGCTTGAGGCCGTGGAGGTCGGGGCCGAGATTGTGGACTCCGGCGGATTCGGGAGAGAGTGTGGTGCCGTGTGTGGCGATTGCGTCGGTGACCCAGTCGGTATCCGTGGCGAGTGAGGCCAGTGTGGATGCGAGGGTTGGTTTGGGAGCGGAGGCTGCTCCGGGTTGGGGTGGTGCTCTGGCTCAGGGTCTTGATGACTTAGTGGTGGGTTTGCTGACGCAGTTATTGGCTCGTTTTCCGCCAGTGGTTCCACAAGGGGCTCCAGGAGTACCTCCAGTGGCAGAGGTGCAGCAGAGGGCTGCTGGATTTGTTCAGCCGTAGACTGTGGGTTTGTTGGTGCCGTCCTACTTGGATATGTTGGGGCACATGCAGAGGATTGGTATGCCGTACTTTGAGGGCGGAGTTAGCCCAGAGGCGGCAGATGAGTGGCGTCAGAGATTGGAGCGGAATTTCCAGTCTATCAGATTTCTGGTTTAGTACCAGGTTGAGTTGGCAGTCCACTATCTGAGAGAAGATGCACATTTGTGGTGGCGGGCCATCGAGGGCATAACGGTTGTTTTTGCTGCGTGTTGTTCATTTATCTGTGATTAAATTATTGAGGTTCTCAGCGCATGTGTTTCGTAATGACCTTGTTAGTGGGCGGTTTTGAGTCCCACGTTTTATTCGACTCTGGAGCATCGAATTGCTTCATTACACCGGAGCGTGCCGAGAAGAGTGGCATCCGGAGTAGCGCGGGCGAGAGCGCGGGCATGGTCAAGGTGGCGGGAGGTGGATTCTTGTCTACTTTGGGCCGTGCTAGAGGAGTCGAGATCGAGATTGCGGGGCAGTCAATGCCAGCAGACTTAGTC